TTCCCGTTTGTCGTCATTGACGGTCTTAGTGATCCCGAAAGCCACCCGGGATTGGATGTGGCTGGTTGACTATGGCTAATAAGCCAGAAATTTTAAGTCCAGTCTCTCTGGTCTTTTTCGGTAATATTCTTCTGCCCAGAGTAAACCATTAAATATGGTTTAACGGAAGCAATTTACTTACGTCTCACAGTCATTTCCAACTTGCAGAAATTCTACTGGTGCACTGTCCGGTCGTGAGAATCTCGGCCTGATAGAAGGTGAGACCAAGCCGACTCATGCGGACAGTAATCCCTCATGTGGGCTTTGCCAGAAAATTACTTACAGGGGAATTGGTAGCTCACGAACTGCCATGCATTTAACAAGAATATCCCTGTAACACAAAATCCACCCATTATACGAGTGTTCTTAAAACACGGCATAATGTGGTTTGCAAATTAATATTTATTAGCAAGAAATAACCAATTTTCACTGAAAACTAGGAGTTGAGAATAGGAGTTCCTTACAAATCATTTAAATACGTCTAACTGTAAGGGTTATTATAGAAGGAACGCATAGAAATGGGGAAAATAAGGACAAATCGTAGTAAATACAAATTTTCACTACTTTTCGACTGTTCATTTGCTTTGAAAGGAGCATAAAATTTGTCAGATGTGAATATTGTAATTTTGCCGAAAGCCAAGATTTATAGGTTGCAGTCGGCTCAATCTGCTCTTCTGAAAAATTCTTCCTCCTTATGACCAAGTGCCTGAAACAGCGGATACTACGCACCGAGTACTATTGAGACTGAGAACCGGTAATTAACAGTAACACATTTGAGTAATACCCATAGAATGTAAACTCTGAGAAGAAGACGACTCGATCGCTGGGACAATACTTTTATTCGCCTGACGTTTCGAGGTCCGTCGCGGATTCTTCATCAGAAACATAGTCAGATAGCAGTAGCAGATATAGACTCCTTGGCTATGGGTTCCAGAGAATGGTTGAAACGCCAGGCAGGCGGCTTCGATGCTTAGGCGATCAGTCCTCGTTATTTCTTTTTGTGCATTGTCCGTCACGTAGGTCAATGTTTATCTCTAGGATGGGCGCGCGCCGATCCGTTGGGACAGATGTTAATAAAGATTAAATGAGTGGACATATCATGAGAAATAAAAAATGTAAAAATATTAGAGCATATAAAGTAACAGAAATAATTATTAAAATAACCAAATAACCAGATATGTAAAATTGCCTAATAATGCCTAAATGGACACAGTTGTCGGCTATATGTCATATCTATAGAGTTGATACAGGGATTACATACAGATGATAAATAGTCGACGATTGTGTCCATTTAGGCACTACTGGGTCCTTTTAATTATTGCCCGCAAATACTCGGCTATTTAAATAAACTGTTTGGTAACCTAAATTGAACTGTTACCACAGACCCATTGGCTAACCCAAACGTATAAGCTTCGTGGTCACGAACTGGCGACCGCCTGACAGGCTGAGGCCGGCAAAGCTATAACGCACAGCGAGGAACGATAGACGTTGGGAGTAGATTTTTATAGAAATGTTTCGGGCATATTTGTCTTATTTCAGACCCTTATAAACCTTAACACCAGCTAGGACAGGAAACAAGACGCATACGCACATACACGTTGCCTAGACAACCAATCGGGGTCTTCTATTTCTAAGTAAATAAAAGCCCAATCTGCAGCGACAGAGGAGGGCAGGTGGCGAGATCCTGATGAACCTCAATTCGTTTAAGTGTTTAAGCGCGACCTGGGAGATCCCGGTTGTGGGCCATTTGTGCCCTGTTTGTGTTCGCATGCTCTTTGTTTCTGGTTCCAGCCTGTGGTTGGGGTTAAAACAGCTGAATTAAAGCAAATAAGCCCGAGGCAGTTATATATCAATCGAACTCCCTCTCACCTCTGTCGTTCTTGCCTCTGCAGTTAAGATCCAGTTTCGTAAGTAAATGGCGAGCCAACCTGAAATCACTTCAGTAACACTGCGAGCACGAAACTTCGTTATTCGGTCTTTCATTTTAGTGTTTGTCCCCACTTCTTAGTTTCACATCCGTTAACTACTTTGTTGTAAGCAGCGGATTTGTGAAGATCCCACATAAATTCACGGACATTTGAGGTTAAGCTCTGATTCACATAGCAAGTGACTGTTCCAACTTGTTCACAAGTAGCCTACTGTTAAAGATCCTTCGTTGTTTCGAGGTTTTGGGACCTTTTCATTATTACTTCCATAGAAGGAATCAGCAAAAGTTTTCGACTATCGCTGCAGATTTGTACTGATTCTAAGGGGAATTTTGTCACTAGCAAACTAGCCTTAAGCATATCGTGGAAAACTACTAATTCATTCTCTATTTTGTTTTTGTCCGTTTAAATATTTTTGCTTTTTGGTTCTTGAAAGTACTAAAAAACGACAATGTTTCCTTCATATAGCCTCAAAAGTGCAGGGCGTTCTTGAAAAGACAGAAAAGAAGGCTGCAGAAAAACCACCAGTGAAAGTAAAACTTAGGTCAGTTTTATTCCTGCGTTGTTTGGGTTCTGGTATTTTCTTAACTGCATTTATAGAATACGGTAAATCCAGCGTCTCAGCTTTACTTGTTATGAATCCTTCGTACGGAAAATTAGTGCAAGTAAGGTCGGCCTGAATGTTTCAGCACGGAAGACTCAGGTAACAGCGGTTTCCAGCATCTGTAACCAACCATAACTCCAACCAACATATCTGACGGTCTATTGACCGACCAGCTCGCTGTGCTTCTATCACATTGCGAATAAATACCAGGTCTATCCTCAACAAAGATCGCATGTTGAATGCACGAATTCTTCTTAGTTTCGCAGTGCATCTGAGGCGTTCGAGTTTGCCTCATCTTTCGGCCATTTACGTTCCGTGCTTTCTTGCTTCGGCTGTACTTCTGGATGAGCACAGTGAACAGTAAAATGCTTGAAGGTCATAAAAGGTGTGCAGAACTCCGCAGTCTCTGAAGATGGATAAGCAAAATTGTTCCTTGAGACGCCCGACCTCAAATAAACTTCTCCCGATGAACGTCTCTGCTTTGAAAGTGCCACCCGGAATTAAAATGTTCAGTATTATGGACGTCCCAAAATTTCCACATTTAGGCTGACGGGATAAGTTGACTTAGATTGCATGCCATGGTGTTTCGCTGCGCAGATTCCACTTTTCCTACGTAGGCACTGCTACCGCCTGCCCCTTTTGCCCGTTTCGATCATCGGACACCGACGCGCGGGCCTTTCTTTGTTTGTGCCAGATATGCTGGCTTGAGAACCAAGGCCACACTCAATCGGGTCGACTGACCACTTCTGGAGGATAACACGGTCATCTGGACCTAGATTCACTCAGTGCACGCCTGGCCGCTATACCAACCATCTCATTCAATAACCCATCGATATTGCGGTTTTATGGAATGAACTCGCGGCTATAGTTCAGTTTACGGCTCTCGTGGTGATTGATTTTTCAGAGTTCGACTAGAGAGGGCAGGAAAAGGGCTTGCAATCTGTGAACTTAGTGTAGGCTCTGATCTCAGGTTAGTGTCGGAAAAGCTTACCGACTCCCGTCCGAATAGCCTCAACCGCGACAGCGTTCACCCTGTCAAAAGCAGAGTGGGCAGTTGCGAGCAGCTCGAATAAAGCCATGGAAATCTATAGGAGGTTCGTGAGTGGCAAAATGGTACCGGTACAGTTGGGGTGGAACGAACGTTAGAGATTCACCAGGACGGGGAAGCGCTGCAGTTGACGCTTGGAAGTGGGATGAGGGAATTTATGGATGATCGCGACCTTCGAAGGGAGCGAAGGGATGTCGTTGTAGTCGGCCAAGTATCCGAGGAAGTCGAGGACAGGGACGTCGGGCAGCTACATGTTTTCCATCACTTCTATTGCGATTTCAAAGTACGCAAACATGTTCGGTTTCGAATTGAAGATTGATGCTCTCATCAAATGTTCACACTACGTTGACTTTCGTCTGTTTTGATGACTGCGCTTCAACATCTACTTCAGTTCCTCATTGGCGAACCTAGGGGGATAATAAATAGCTGGCAAAAAATAACCCTTCTCATCAGGTTCTA